ATTTAATCTCAATAAACTCAATTTATTTTTCAATACACTAAAGCAACATATTTTGCGAAAATAGAATTACTTTTTAACGGAAATATGTATTAATGTCGGTTTGTCACCAAATTTTTGTAAAATAAAGAATTCGCAAAAATCTTATGCGCACTATACACATACTCGCATACTTGCATATTGTTAAAAAATTAAAGCCCTATTCGGACAATAATTATTTTTTAATTATACATAATTAGTCTAGCATTAAGAAAGTAGGACGTTTAAAGGAGGAATCATCTCGCCTAACCTATAAAATGTCCCACAAATTGACGCTGCGCCATCGAGACACACAACGACAATTATGATTGTCTTGGAAAAAAATCAATTTGCCGATATACAGTATAACAAGAAGAGTAATAGGTCCGTGTTATTTTGGAACATCAAATAAAACTGGAAAATTTCTGTTATAACGTGATGGAGTCCTTTATAATATGGGCCTTTGAAAAAGAAAGGGGGGAAACTGCCGTGAAAAATCAATTTTACTTTTATATATCAAATATGTTTTTTAGGCCGAAATATGTTCAAATTTAGTATTAACTCTATTTTTTTTTTTTGCCAGTTTCCCCCCTTCCTATTGCAAAGATCTCATATTACCAGCATTTCCAACATAGCTAACTTGGTATATGATATGATCACGTTTTTTGCATGTAAAAAGTTTTTTATTATTATATTCTGCAACTATTTCTTTTCCAATTTCGCAACTCTTTCTCTAAGCTCAGCATTCCTTTGCCTCAAGCTCAACTTTCTCGAACTCGAGCCCAGTTATCTTAGCCATAAATCTGTCATTTTCTTCTCTAAGTCAAAACTCGAATTCCATTTTCAATAACACTTTTTATACATTGTCAAAATTAAATTTTAGAAAAAAATAATGCATATCTTACGTCGCATAGCCCCTATAAGAATTTCCCGATAGATATCAATCATACTTCACTTTTCAGGTGATCGGTTCACATGACGAAGCATAACTGCGGAAGATTTTTTGCAACCTTAACGTTAACAATTTTGTGCGTGCTATTTCTATGTTACTTTGGGGGAACATCGTAGGATATATAGGATATAGATTTTCTCATGTGAATCAAAAAATAGGCGCCTTCCCACTTTCCTCATATTGGCCCTTTATGCTCCTTACCCCATACAAGACAAAGATTCCCGCTGGCTACTTGATAAAATTCATGGTTTTCTTTACTGTCGCTTAAAAAAGATACTGTTTCTCGACTGTTTTGGCGATTGTAAGAGCTGACCTGTTCACTTATGGGAATACGCTTAAGTTTAATCTGAGCCTGATTTCTGGAAGGAATAGGTGATACTTCCTCTACCTTGGTATCCAATTTTTTCGTGGCAGTTTCATGGGGAATTGAGATTCGGAAGGCATAGCCGAGATATACATGGTGGTGGTGAATTAGGTTCGAATGATGCTGAAAATCACGGTGGTGTAATATAACACCGCCGTAATGCCAAAATAAATTACACCACTGTTGTAACGTCATAATGCCGAATTACCGTAATATTACCGTAATTCCGTAATTCCTAATTGCAGAATTGAAATTGATAATAATGATTATTTTAATTTTATTATCCATATTTAATAGCATTAATAACTTTTAGCAATTTACTACTTTTTTCACTATTAATGTCCGTTAAACGGACATTAATTGTGAAAAAAGTAGTATTATCATTATTATTAAAAAAATTACTTCCTATCACCGCCGGTGATCATCACATGTTTGTATTTCTAGGGACACAATTTTTCACCGCAAAAAATTAATCCAAAAAATAATATATTTTGCCAAAAAAAATATTTCAAATCTAAAAATTCTAATATTATATGGATTAATGTTACACAAAATTTGCATCATGGTTTTTTGTTAATACTGTAATAAGATAATTGGCAGTAAAAATTTAACCAATTTGAGTTCATACAGTATATTATATAATATTTTAAATCATAAATCGCATTTTGGTTCAAAAAACCCCCCCCCCCCCCATTTCCTAGATCATATTTAAAATGTGTATGATAACGCAGTAATAAAAGATATCTCTGACATTTAATTTATAATCAAATTCAGATAATTTAAGATATTACAATGACCCGATTTTAATAAAAATAACTTATTTTGCGATAAATGTTTTGAGCGAAAACAATTTGCATTGAACATATAATATAATATAATAAAATAAAATAATATAATAAAACTATAAAGATTATACTAGTTTAAATCAAAACTTTGATGGGCAGCTGATCCACCTTTCCAGGAAGGTTCAACAAAACAGGTTCACCACCTCGTGC